CTGCGGGTGAGACAAGAAAGCGTGAACTCAAGTGTATCGGATGGCGACAAACTGGAAACAAAAGTCCAAATGGGCCTCGAGAACCTCACAAAGACTTGGAATGCACTGATTTCGTGCCGAAGAATGCATCCGGGTATTGTGAAGTTGAAGACACCAAATCAGGCGAGCGTTTTCGCGTTATGCGTCGATCTTCTAATATCCTTCGCAAGCGTGTTCCATTTCGATGTATCAATGCGCCTGCTTTCGCTCATTTTCACGTCCAGGCGCATGCTGCGATGACAAAAGCTTCCGATCCGAATTACACCTTACCAAAAGTGTCTCCTGCTGTCCTTCCCCCACGTGACGGGATTGTCATGGTTGTTTATCCCAAGTTGGTCCCAAGCGCCTACGCTACCATTCGTACACTCCGTGATATCTTAGGCTCTTCACTACCAATTGAGCTTTGGTACCGCCCAGATGAGATGGAACACACCCCTAAAGCTCTTGATCCCCTTCGTCATCTTGCAAAAAACTCATCCGGCGGCCAGATTTCGTTCCATCAGATCGTTGATCCAGTTGCCACGCGATTTGTAGCGAAGGTTTATGCTATCTACCACAGTTTCTTTGATCGCGTGCTGTTCCTCGATGCCGATAACGTCCCTGTCCGAGATCCTAGCTTCCTCTTCAGCTCTCTCGAATTTCTACAGACAGGAGCAATCTTCTGGCCGGATTTTTGGCATCCGGGTTCGACCATGTTTGGAATACACAGCAGATCGTTACTCTGGGAACTTCTCGACATGCCGTTTGTCGACATGTTCGAACAAGAAAGCGGCCAATTGGTTGTGGATCGTCAAAGGCATGCCATGCCTCTCGAACTCGTTCTCTTCTACGCTACTCACGAACCCAACTTTTTTGTGCACTATAAACTCGCATGGGGAGACAAGGATCTGTTTCGGTTAGCGTGGCTCAATTTGAATGCATCTTTCCACATGATTAAGACGCCTCCTGCCATGGCTGGAATGGTGACCAACATGTCTGCCTTTTGTGGAATGACAATGGTACAGCACGATCCTGAAGGTGAAATCCTGTTTCTCCACCGCAACAAGCACAAACTCACGGGGCTGGAGTCAGGAAATACTAATTCCAACAGTTCGGAATCGGCAGGACTCGACGAGCACAGCTTGAACAATTTAAGCGTTGAAGATTATCCAGATCCAGTAATCTGGACACACTTGCTATCCTTTGATGGCAATTGGGGTCGCGAACACTACGTCGTTCAAGCTTTTACAACATCTCTAGATTTCAGCAGCAAGCAGAAGTGCTTTGGACGGCGGTCGCTCAGTCAGAGCCCGCAGTTTCACGTCCAACCTATCGCAGATCAAACTTTTGCCGGTCTCGAGACAGACCTGAGGGGGTTTGCGAAGCAGGCAACTCAAACTTAGTGAAAGTATTTTATTCGAACTGAAAGTCACAATATCCCAGCTTTGTAGAGACTGTTAACTGTAAAAACAAAGTTGCGGACCATGATAATTCCGTTACCGTCAAAGGTTGCGATCCGTTTTCGTGCACTGCCCATTAGAGCCCACTTGAAGATCCACAATGGAGCAGCCTGTCCGTCGTCATCCGCGCTTGCCTGTGTCGCTGCTGTTGCTCGCAAGCATGGCGAGCATCTTGCTGATCACTGTCTATATCAACAGTAGACTCATCGGGAACTCCTCCATCGGTCTCAGCGACAGTTTCGATGCCTTTCGGTCCAGGACGAACAATCTACGGCTTCAAACCGGAGCTAATGTCGACGACTCAGCATTCAAGAGTACACCCGTGCATCCAGAGTCTCAATTCTACAAGCGCGGACAGAACTTCGACGCAAGCGTGAGTCGCGACCGCGGTATCATGATCTGTATGCACGACGGGGTACTGGACATGGGATTGTCACTTATTCGGGAGCTGCGCTGCCTTGGCAACCAAGAGCTCATTCAGATTTATCACTGCGGAGAAGATGAATTGTCAAAGAGATCTGTCAGCCTACTGTTCAGTCTTGACGACCGCGTTGAACTTGTGGACGTGTGCTCCGATCTTTCATCGCGAAACGTGATCTCCAGTAACTTGACCGCTCAATTCCAGAGTTGGTGGATCAAACCACTTGCTATGTATCACACAGATATTCGACACGTGATGTTACTAGACGTAGACGACGTCATCATGAAAGACCCTGCTGTTCTTCGCCATCTTGACGGATACGTGGAAACGGGAACTACTTTTT